ACAGGGAACTCACTCAACCAGTCAAACATGCATGAATGATTTGCATAATGTTTAGTCCCACTCTGTGACAAATAGCTACAACGATCATGAGCTCAGTGACATAATGTTCTCCTGTGGTCATAATTAGTAACGGCAGATTATGGCGAGTGTGTTTGAAATATCCACCTATTGTTGTTGTGTTACCTGGAGTTACTGGGTATTGATAATTTATTTGTAATCACAGGTGTGTTTGTTATCATGTTTTGAGCTACAGGTGTAAGAAATGTAAAAACTTCAGGAAGTGTTGACACAGCTATGCATGAACTGAATTCACTGCGTTCTCGTTGGTAATTATGAGGACATGAATTATAAAAGATGTACGTCCTCCTAACCGCTGTGATACGACGATGTCGAGAACTGTTGGGAGATGCTTCCGACTCGGATACTCCGTTAGTCGGCCATGTTTGATCAGGCTGTTTGAAGTCAAGTCGGGATGTTTGGTTAATGTTTAAAACAAAATGTTTGTGATAACACTGGATTGTAGACTCTTGCTCTGTTTTTATATTGCGTCCAATTTTCTGACGTGGGCTTTGACTGCAAGCTTTCTGAAGGGATATACCTTGTCGGCATCGTGCAACTCTTTGTGATGAAACCATGGCCATATGTGTTGTGATTCGAAATGGGATTTACTGATTTACACCTTGCTAAGTAAAAGGTCCTCGTCTTCAGAGCTGCAAGGCTTTTATTTGTTTTCTTGGTGTCAAGGATGTCTAGGATTCCAACTGTGAAATTAAAATGGGCTGCTGCGGTAAGTGTAACATAGGGAAAGGAGTGCACAGTTCGTACGTGAAAATATTCGAGTTTTGTTTCATGTAAAATACCATCAGCAATTTCATTAACCCAACTTTAATGTTTTTCAATGCTATATGCCAATTTCAAGTTTCAAATTTGGTCACATGTTTAAGTTTGTTTGTTTTGTTTTGCAGTGAATTATTAGGTTTATGTTTTGTTGGTTAATTTTCATTTTAAATGTGTTGAGAGAGATTCATTCATTCATTCATTCATTCATTCATTCATTCATTCATTCATTCATTCATTCATTCATTCATTCATTCATTCATTCATTCATTCATTCATTCATTCATTGGTGCACAGATGGTACACTCTATACCAGTTTCTCTGTACCATACATGTAACAAGCATTTGATTTACGCTGGTCCTGTGGTCCCTGGCTAGTAAAAAATCATAAGGACCATTAACTGATAAGTTTGCAGTGGTCCTGGTGGCCAGTGAATTTTGTTATGATAGTTATGTAAATCTTTGAATGTTAGTTTGGACCAGTGAAGTACAGAGAGGACCACTAATTATTGTCCACTTACTGGTCGTTTGGTCTAGTGGGAAATTTTGAAAGGTTTCTTTCCCAGCAATTGGGTAGATGGATGTTCATGGTTTTGATCACTGGATTGTCTGCTCCAGACTCAGTTATTTACAGACGACAGCCATGTAGCAGGGATAGTGCTGAGTCCAATGTAAACAACAAATAAACAAACAAATCAAAACAAACCATATTCTGTATATACTCCTCATTACTTGAAGTCACTGGAGCATTGTGACATCAGAATCTATATTGAAACATCATCAAATGCAGTTTACAAGTGTTCCTTAAAGTTGTATGTGTTCTTGCATATATGTAACAGTTGGTTGTAGTGAGGTTGTAGGCCTGCAGTTTGGCTTTCATCCAGTATTCACCTTCCACGGGATGGAACTAAAAATACTGTGACATTTGTTGGATATAGAGGATCAGTTCCAATTTCCTTCCATGATGATGATGTTGCTGATGATGATCACCACCATCATCACCATCATCATGAACATCATCATCATCATCATCTTCTTCATCGTTGCCTTCATCCTTGTGTCCTCTCATCCTCATGACAGGTTCATGATGATCTAGCCTCAGGTTACGGAATGCTCCTGAGTGTAGGTGGGGAACGCCTCTCAATTGGGAGTGTTTGCCAAAGGTCTGGTTTACACCATCGCGACTGTAGTAATGACCTCCAGCTGGACATAGAGGGCGCTGCAGTTGTATTAGGAATGTCCATTGTTCTTCATCACCCCTCCATGGATATATACATGTGAACTGCACCAGCAACGTTACATAGTCCGCTCTTTACATGTAATACTTGTGGCTGGGACTTACACAGCATGGATTAGTGAAAGTTTAGTCAGCCACATGCTGTCTGATTTGTCAAGAATTAGTTGCCAGGAACATCTGATCCTCTTTGACATTTATTTTTAAAGTCGTATGTATTGAAAAGGACAAGGTTATATATAGTATACATACAGAATCTAATACATCAGTTTTCAAAATGGGTCACTTGATCAGCTGTATTCATAATTTGATTCCAAAATGATATGGTTAAGCCATTGAGTCAGTTCTTTTCATGAAATTGTCATATGTGTTTAAATTTAGACTTTTGAAGTGTAATTTTACCTGTAAAGACCTTTGGGGAGAAATTTCAGAATATTCTCTTTGATTTCCAATTTTCTCATAAAATATTTTTCTTCAGGTTTGGTTTATTTAACAGGAATAATGCTTGAAACGGTAATCAATCTCGATCAGATCTTATATTGGAGACATGGTATTTGGTTACCATGGTTATTGTGACCATGATTATGGCTTTTAATGCACAAGTTATTTTTGCTACATTACAAGAACTGCATAGATCTGTTAATTGTGTATCATCTGTTTGTTTGACGTAGCACATCATCATTTGTCAATAACAGTAGCACTTGGATTGAATACAGTCTTAAAGAACAAATAAACTTCTTTTTTGTACTCTTTTAACTATTACATATGAAAGATTTGTGGTTAGTCTTATGTGGAACACCAAATTCATTCTTAAAAAACTTGTGGTTAATTAATACCGAGCGATTAAAAGTTGCCAAAAAGTCACCTGCTTCACTCTCGACCGCCAACGAAACCACAGACAGGTTACGTAACTCTGTGGCCAGAGCACTGCATTGACGTCATATGAGGAAGGATTTTCAGTTAGTTGTATATAAAGTGTGTAGCAGGCTTGTCTTTATGATGATTTCTCGACATCAACGAAGGCATGCCAAATCGTTGCGTTGTCGTCTATTGCTCCTAGGTAAATTTTCAGATTCCTCTAGCAATGGCAAAGTAGGGTTGTTTAGTTTACGGATTCAAATAAATCAAATGTCAATTTTTAATGCCATACATAATAGACGTCATATTTTTACATGACATGATTAAATATCGAGGTAAAAAAACACAGAAATGGGATCAATTTGGATCAGTCATTATACCATCCAGGCATTAGAAAACCTGAAAAATCCCACACTGCTTTGATACTTTATTACAATCAGAAAAGAACTACAGGGGATATTTTCAAATAACTGCATCTGATGGGCATCCACCCTTCTTAATGTTGCACTGTTGAGGTTGAAGAAATTAACCGTAATCGTGATGAGCCAGTCTGATCATCGTTTTCGCTATCACTAGCGCCTGGCTCGAACAAATAAGGCCTAGCGACACCAAGCGATTTTGATAGAATCATCTATGAAAACAAGTTGTAACTCGGAAACTAGGCAAAGCAGGAGACAAAATTAAAAGACAGTAGATTGTGAGAGCATATAGCTTTCATTTTTCACAACAGTTGTCACGATTTCAGGTTTATAAAAACCTGTAAACAAGATAATTTACCCCCTGAAATGTACATGAATTCTGCATCGGCCCTCATATCTATTCCTCATATGACGTCACAGAGATGCGTCGCTCTGATTGGTTGAAATTTCGTTGCGGGAGAGAATTGTGCACTGTTGTCAAAAAGGTCGATTTAAGTTAATTAAAGATCGAAATGAGCAGTTTTAATTACGGGGTTTCATTTATAATGATGCCAATTAGTGATTTATGTATTTGTACCCCCCTAGAGTATATGTGATCTTTAGAACTGTTTTTCAGTGTGTATTTGCTTAAGTAATACCTTATGTTATTATCATCAGTAATTTTGCAGACAACCACAGGTTATGCTACTGCATTGCGTGGATATATTCCATTTTGTGTATCTCACTCAGATAAACAACAGACTAGTTCCGTGTATAAACACTTCCTTTAAAAAGATTCTAGTGACCACTAACAGTGAATGGAAATTATGACGGAATACGGTTCGATTTACTGAATAAGCAAGGGAATCATAACAGGGCCAGTATTAAAAAAAGTGAGTGGATTGACTGGTCAGGCCTGTTGCATGTCACTGTAGCCCAATGGTGGAGAATTTGCTCATAATATCAATCATTGGTTTGTTTTGTCAGAATGAAATCACATCAGCCTACTTTCTCGAGGCAACCTTTACTAAGGTTAACCTTAACTCCCATTCTTTAACTTTGCACTAAGGTTACCTTAGTGACTTAAGATCTTAGTGCTGTGTGCAAGGAGGCCCTGATGTCAACTAGGTGGAACACTGCACAGTGTGATGGTAAACATTAAACAAAACAGCAGCAGATCATTCAGTTTTTTGCTAAATTTGGTTCTGTATCATTGATTCGTACAATAGAAACCTGAAAGAGTAAATGAATGGTGACATTAATTACTTGTAATCCTTTCATAAACCTTGTATCGTCCATGTTTACCTAATTTTAAGTGTATAATTGTTTTAATATGCAATAAGAGACAAAAGCATATTAACCATGTTGATCTATGTTATGTACAATGATGGTAGAGTTTCATAGATCTGAGACATTGGACATTGGTTCAGTTTGGGGAATCCCAATTCTATTTTTAGCTCAAGTCCGTACAGAAAATCATGAGACCTGATTTGGTTTCTGTTGAATGACTTCTTTGCTAATGAATATGGTGTAAATCTTTCCACAGTAATGTCAGTTCGTGTGGTCCCAGGAATAAGGTCAGCGGTGTGTCACAGTAGTTGAAGGATTTGATTTGGATGAATATTATTCTCTTAAGCAAGTGTCTAAAACTGACCTTTTTTGTTCTTTTACAGCTGGACAAGGTTGGTGGAACTTTTCGTCTGGGAAAGGATCGGAACAAACAGAAGAGTGTATCCAGCTATCCCAAACAGTACATTGAGGATCAGAATGGCAGTCAAGCTGAGCCGTCGTGGGAGACCACAGTCAAAGGATACTCCACTGACGAGGTCAACGCTAGGTTGGAAGTCATTTTGGTGAGTTGTCTCCCTTTGTTTTGAATTGCTATTGAATGTAAAGGAATTTGAGAAAAATAACAATCAGGACTTCACAGCCACATGGGCAGTGTACTGAGGAATATGCAACATATCGTTTGGATTAGTAGCAAGTCACACATTAATATCAGTCATATCGTAATGATGTGTCTTGATGTGTTGATGTATTGATCAATCGTCCTCTCCTTGGTGTGTATTCGCTGTATTGAGCAACCTGTTCCAAAAATGGCCTCTGACCAACTTCTAGAACAGTTTGTAGGTAATATTTACAAGTGACCCCAAGTAAGAATCTGCTTTTGTATATTACAGATTTCTTTTACAAAAAATAGCACCAGAGTTAAAATACTTGCAATGTAACTCTTATAAAAAACGCCATTTTATTTCAACTTCTGATCTATTTTGTGGTCACTAGTACTCTATGTGCAACAAGGTTTGATTGTTCAGGGTTTTGGTAAGTGCCGTCTCTTATCAACTTTCTAAATACCCATGGTTTTCCGAGATTTGGGACCGTGTAGTGAAACTGATTATTGGTTCAAATTCTGGTTCACCCTGACTATGTCAGCACCATACCCAAACTGGTAGGTTATCAAAGTAGTAAACGGCTGAGTTGAGTTTGGGATTTTCTGTCACATTAAACTGACATGCTGATATGACCCGAATACTGTGCAAACCAGCATTCACAATGAGTGAGTGAGTATGGTTTTACACCGCTTTTAGCAATATTCCAGCAATATCACGAGGGGGGACACCAGAAATGGGCTTCACACATTGTACCCATGTGGGGAATCGAACCCGGGTCTTCAGCGTGACGAGCGAACGCTTTAACCACTAGGCTACCCCACATTCACAATGTCTCATCTGACGTATGTATCACTAATCCAATCAAATACTACTCACCAATAGTGAAATGTTTTTACGCATTGTTTTACACTGTTAGCATCAAATGGACTGAGACGGTTCTTTCATTGCGAGTTTTCAACGAAGATCTTCTTGAAAAGAAACATAATATGGGAAAAGGCGCAATTTTAGTTGACTTTCATTAACAACCACTGAACACTGCTAAAACAGTCCTACATTTATAACGGCATGGTGGCGATGGGGTAGCCTCATGGTTAAAGTGTTTGCTTGTCATGCCGAAGACCTGGGTTCGATTCCCCACATGGGTACAATGTGTGAAGCCCATTTCTTATGCCCCCCGCCGTGATGTTGCTGGAATATTGCTAAAAGCAGCGTAAAACTAAACTCTCTCATACACTCTTATCTTGCACTCTTAAGGAATCACTTTCTACTGTATACATAGTTGTATATACTGTATCACAAACACGACTGAGTTCTCAACCTTTGCCTTAGTGAATAAGCAATATTTCTTTGGGTAAACCACAGGGAAATCTCAAGTAGCTCAGCCAGAAGGTATTTATTGTCGTGAACTTCCGATAATGCCCCCCTGGACAAAAAGATTACCAGAGCAGAAAATTCTGCCATGGATATCAGGCCGTTGACACTTTGGCCTTTCTGTAGCGGTGTTTGGGGATGGTTCACCAGTCGGTTGTTAGTGTGGTTACAACTGTGTGGAGTACATGTCGCTTCTATACTCAGGGATATGTCACAATAATGCACCTGACCTTTCTCAATAAACAAGGCTGGTAACTTGTATTTGATGAGGATGCAGCTTGTGCAGAAAGCCTCATTAGGCTCTGAATCGTTGTGATTAGCAGTTTGTTTGATTTACATGTTGTTGTGCATGGACGATGGATGCTCTGATGCTCGTGTGTGCTTGTGTTGTGCAGGTTAGAGGTGGGTTGGGTGTATGGCTTCCGTGGGTTAGTGTATAGGGCTTCTTTCACCAGAGTCTTGCAGCTGTTGCCGAATGGCTCATTAGACTCTGAATCGTTGTGATTAGCAGTTTGTTTGATTTACAAGTTGTTGTGCATGGACGATAGATGTTTTGATGCTCCTGTGTTCTTGTGTTGTGCAGGTTAGGGTGTGAGTGAGTGAGTTAGGTTTTACGCAGCTTTTATCAATATTCCAGCAATATCATGGCAGGGGACACCAGAAATGAGCTTCATACGTTGTACCCATGTGGGGAATCGAACCTGGGTCTTCGGCGTGACGAACGCTTTAACCACTAGGCTACCCCAACGCCCCTGTGCAGGGTATAAGTGGGGGATGTTTGACACGTATCAGCAGTGAGTGTAAAGGGCTTATTATCCCCCGCCGCGCATTTAGTAATATTAGGCTCCGTCCATACGTACGAATTGGAATATCTTAAGAACCGTTCTCTAGATTCTTTTCATATTTGGTACCTAGGTTCATCATAGTATAAGAAAGGCCCAAGTCAAGTTTGGTGACCTTGACCTTCATTTCAATGTCACAAGGGGACATTAACGGTTTACCTGCATGTTAAGCTATCTCAAGAACCGTTCTCTGGATTTTCTTCATATTCAATACCAAGCTTTATCTAGGGAAAGCACAGGGCCCAGTCGATTTTGGTGACCTTCACATAATTTTCAAGGTCATGGCGACACTTTGAAGATTTCAGCATGTAAACCTGCATGTTAAGCTATCTCAAGAACCGTTGACTGGATTTTCTTCATATTTAACACCAAGTTTTATTTAGGGAAGGCGCAGGGCCCAGTCAATTTTGGTGACCTTCACTTAATTTTCAAGGTCACAGAGACACTTTGAAGATTTCAGCATATTAACCTACATGTTATGCTTGTCAGCGAGATACCTCAAGAACCATTCACTGGAGTTTCTTCATATTTGACACCAAGCTTCATCCAGGGAAAGGCGCAGGGCCCAGTCGATTTTGGTGACCTTCACTTAATTTTCAAGGTCACAGAGACACTTTGAAGATTTCAGCATGTTAAATTGCATGTTAAGATAGTCAGCAAGATATCGCAAAACATATTCAGTGGATTTTCTTCATATTTGACTCCAAGCTTCATCTAGGGAAGGCGCAGGGCCCAGTCAATTTTGGTGACCTTCACATAATGTTTAGGGTCACGACGACACTTTTAAGATTGCATGTTAACCTGAATTGTCAGCAAGATATTTTAAGAACAGTTCACTTGATTTTCTTCATAGACTTTCAAGACTTCCCTTGAATGTTTTTCAATAAGCAATTGCTTGAGTACTAGTTTTGCATATTTCATACACTATGACATTCATGTCAAGGTCAAAGTCAGTCTTGAAAATATGTGTGTTTGAACAACTAAAGAGCCAGATATCAAGAGAGGTTGACTGGTCATGTTTTTGTTGACATTTAACTTCATCTTAAACTTTCATTACTTTTTAAGTTTGATTTGATAATTTGTGGCGGGGGATTATGTCACCTTAGTGACAATGCTTGTTTCCTTAAAGTTATGCAGCTTTTGCCGAATGCCTCATTAGGCTCTGAATTTTTGTGATTAGCAGTCTGTTTGATTTACAAGTTGTTCTGCATGATGCTGGATGTTCTGTTGCTCCTGTGGGCACGTGTTGTGCAGGGTTGAGGTGGGTTGGGCGTATGACTTACATGTATCAGCACTGAGTGTAAAGGGCTTCTTTTATCAAGCCGCCTTGGAGCCGTGTTGGCTTATATTGAAGTATAGGAATTACAATCATCTTACCACAAAGACCTTTTGTGGAACAAGCGCAGTAATCTAGGAGCTGGATTCACTTTTACACTGTTTGAATGATGTAATAATTTGTTATTTATCATCATGTACGTCTTATATCCACATTAACGCGTTTGCTCGCGAGGCCAGAGACCTGGGTTCGATTCCCCACATGGGTATAATGTGTAAAGCCCATTTCTGGTATCTCCTGCCGTCATGTTGCTGGAATATTGCTTAAAGCGACGTAAAACCAAACTCAATCACTCTTACATCCACACGTACAAAGTTCACAAGTTACTATACATATTCTCCTGAATGTTATATTGTATGATACAGACAAACTAAACTAAAGATCCCTTGTGGCCTAACACTTACCCCAATATTTCCCCCCGAGTGAAGATCCCAGGTTGATCATAACTCTAGATGTATTTCCCTGATAATTCCCTTACCTGGATCAACACCGGGCTAAATAAACAGTAATGTAGAGGGACTATTACAGAGCCTTGAGGCTGAGTTGGGTGTGAGATGTAACACCTGATCTCCTGTCACCAGCATACCTGTACTATCTGTTCCTCGTGTCACACTAACCTCCATGTTGACATTGTGCTGCCCTGGTGTTCGAATATAGGCTCTGCATGGTCCAACAATCACCTGTATAAGATACACACGTCCCAACTGTAAGGATTTTGGCGAAATTGCGATCGTTTGATCCAGATTTCACCATGAATACATGACACGGTTTTATGGATAGCAACTTCATTTTATTCTTTGCACAACATTTCAGAGCTAATTCTTGCTCCTTCATCAGGTGTTTCAGAGCTAATTCTTGCTCCTTCATCAGGTGTTTCAGAGCTAATTCTTGCTCCTTCATCAGGTGTTTCAGAGCTAATTCTTGCTCCTTCATCAGGTGTTTCAGAGCTAATTCTTGCTCCTTCATCAGGTGTTTCAGAGCTAATTCTTGCTCCTTCATCAGGTGTTTCAGAGCTAATTCTTGCTCCTTCATCAGGTGTTTCAGAGCTAATTCTTGCTCCTTCATCAGGTGTTCCAGGTGTTATCCACACAAATGTTTCATGTATACATGTTCGTCCAACTTCTAAATGCCTTTCAAAAGCCAGATTTCACCGATGTAATTAAGTGAAATATTTTACAAATGTTTACAATTAACATTCAAATAATAAAGGCTTCTTTCATCTCATCATGAGGAGCGAGTTGGTTGATAAAATATGCAGGGTTCATATATTTTTATCGAAACAGTCACTGTATTGGTGTTTTAGATTTTGGGGTGAAATTGCTCATTTTCAAACGCAATTGATCACGCATATTTCTTGTTGAATGAAAATCTTAAACATGATATTTATCAGTGTAAAATCAGCCTCAACTTCT